TATAAATATTTCAACTTAAGGAAGAAGCTGTGCGTGGTTCATTAATCAGTCAGTCACTCAATCAATCAGTCAACCAGTAAATTTGAACCATTCAACTTTATATTTTAAGCTGCTCGTTGACCAGTAATCAGCGAGTAGCTTGATCAATCAGTCAATCAATCATTCTACCATTATATACCATTCACCTCATTTCAACTGCGGCTTTAACACTTTAAGCTAACAGCTTATAAGGTTATAAAGGAATTAGTCATCTCTTACAACTTACGCTACGTATTGATGATCAATCAATCAATCAATCATCAATCACTATGTAAGTCAATCATTAAATCAGAGCACAAAAACACATATCAGGCGATTGATCAGTAATTAGTGCGTCAGTCAATCAATCAGTCTATCCGTCAGTCAACCAGTTAGTCATTTAATCAATCAATAAGTTAGGAGAATATTTTAATTCCAACTGTTTTCATACTTTGCCCAAGCTTCATCATATAAGCTGTGCATTGATTCAGCAATCAATCAATCAATCGGTCAGTCAGTCATGAATTTCTTCTTTTCTTCTTTTATATATTTCAATAGTGCGCGATTAATTGACGAACTGATGCATCGATTGATTGATGCAACAAATAAAGTCTATAAATATTATTTAACCACATTTCAGCCTTTACCTTACTTCTTTAGATAATTGTAATGCAAACAATTTATTTTTAGTTTCAACTGATTGATTGACTGATTGACCAACTGTGAAAATATTGTAAAAATTGATTATAGAAATTGAGCTGACAAATTGAAACTCGTTTAAAAGGAAAACCTGGACGAAAATGCTCTTCAAGCTTTCAGTTCAGTTGTGCTTAAGAGACACCTTTTGACCACTCAATTTGCAGGTGCTACAATCAATTTGATATCCTTGTCTGCCGTTCGAACAGGACACCTCGTGTCGCCTGGCTGCTGGATGCTCACTTGAGCTGCCAATGAAAGGGCGTTAAAAGCAGCTTTCAATACAGTTTACGCAACTCCGACTGGCACCTAGCTGCGAGGCAGGCCCCTAGATGCCAGGACTGTGCCGGGCGACAAGCGACAGTCGATGACGACAGGACCAAAGGACGACAGGACCGCACGGCCGAAAGGCAACTCCAATTGCATTTTAATGCAATTACAAGTGAAGCCCCTGGGAGGGCGTGCCATGACGGGCCATGGACCACTTGACACCACCCCAAAGGTCCACTTGACATTGACAATAAACAGCGCAGCCTCGCTGCTGCTATTGCATTGTTGAAATATGTCCTGCGTCCTTAATTTCAATCCTGTTGTTGTTTTTTTTTTTGCCAGAACTCGATTCAGCTGCAGCCTGTCGCAGATTAAAAGATATAAATTCATATTCCCCGAGCAGCCGGGGGTGATGCGTGCGAAGCGTGTCCTCTCCCCTCGCCCCGTCCCCCGCTCTCTGGCGCTGTTGCGTGTCCTTGCTCAGGGGCTGCGCGCCCTCCCCGAGGATCGATTAGCTTGTTAGGAATTCAATTCGAAAACATCGTTTTCCATGCCTCGCTCTGTCATATATCTCTCTTTCTATGAAGGGATTGCGTGAATGATGAACCAGCTCAGCTTTATGGCAGCCCGTTTGATTTTGGTATCTCAGTCTCTGCTGCAGGTGCAGCACGGGCACAGTGCGACCTCGCTGCCATGTCCAAACCACTTACAGTAATTAACAGCAAGATGCTGCTGCTCACTTATTTCATTCTTTTTGGTCTTCCCCCGCCTCAAGTCGAATGGCTGCTGTTTCGCGTCAGGACTTGGGACATTATCACGTGCCTCGACAAGCATTTCGCATCGAAGTGCGCACAGCCTTTGTCGTTAAGGCGCAATTATATATACATATCTTCCACATATACCAATAAAAATGATTTGATTTCTGTTTCATTCTATGAATATTGAATGGAGTTTTGCGTTTGCGTAAGCCAATGTCGGCCTCAAATACACTCAACAAAACTGACTTGAATTTGGCTGCAGAAACATGAATCTCTACCCAAAATCACTTGAAGTACGTAAATATATATATATATACTATATGCATACGACCGTAGCCTGCTTAATACCAGATTCACTTGTGAACATGAAGTTTCTCATGCAACCCTCGCATATACCAATAGAATCGACTTACATTCACCCTATTATAAATATATTTGATTAACAAATTAACAAAAGTCTTTTTACAGCTTCGCATCGATTTTTCAACCCGTTTCGATTTAATGCCCATCATCATCGCTTGACTCCAACCCCCCAAATAGATTTACCTCATCTGTGCCCCAGACTGCGGTTATTTGATTGATGATAATGCCTAGAATTCGCAGATTAGCCGCCAAACGTTATTATTTATTTAAAACCTTTTCTAGTTCCATAATAAGCTTTTTCAGTCTTTGGCTTATTGGTCAGTCTACATAAAATACTATAATCGATTTGAATTCAACAAGCAAAAGAAGCAGTTCATTTTTAAATTCTGAACTGCCTCAAATAACTTGATTGTATTCTGCGTTCAGTCAAGAGCTATTTGTTCACCACTCATAAATTAAGTTGTTCATTTGAACGACTCGTTCAATTGACCAAAATGTGACAGCACTAATTGTATGCTATTATTACCGGTTAATTAACATGCTCTTCTAACCGTTTCAAATGGCTTCTAAACGGTTATCGCTTGCTGGCGGCCAACACCAACGCACAGATGGCGCCACGCACTTGTAAGCACAGACATCAACCTAGCAAATACAGAAACCAAGCAGTTTCAATATTCTGTGAGATATTTAATTTAAGCCAGGCTAATCTTTTAACAGCAAATTTACGGAAATACTTATAATCAACAACATTCAAAAGGTGCAGAGATATTTCAACTATTATACATTGGAGTGCCGACATATATCTTCCATAGTTTTCGTATAAGAAACTTGGTATAATACGTAAAGTTGTATTAATATCTCTTCTATCTCTTTCTTTCATATCTCTTTTTTTGTATATTTTTGTAGCATCTTTTGCTAATAACAATAATAAGAATAATGCTAGTAGTAACAATTCATCAATAAAATGTGTTTTTCAACTTATTTGAGCGCTTAATGCTTCCCGAAATCGGCTGGCTCCACTGGATCAGGCACCGTTTCGTACAGCTCATTTGATTGATGATGATTGACGCTGGGATACAATGGAGGGTCATTGTTGTTTCCACTGGCACTGGGTCTGGCATGAATGTTGAGATCTGTCGGCTCGGGTCTGTTGCCATTGTAGGCCAATCCATTGGCAAAGGACCGATGCAACAGGGCGTTGCCCGCCAAACGCTGCAGCTGCATCAAGCAACTAACCAAACAAACAAAGAAGAAGGGGAAGCATCAATAAATATGTCAATCAAAATCATTCAATCATTTACCGATCCAGTTTGATGTCGCTGGGCTTCTCCTGCATTTCAAAGACATCCAACATTCCCAGATTGTGGCCACTGTTCAGCAGAGCCGAGGGCGGAGCCCGTTTGCCATTGGTCCAGCCGCGAGAATACTGGAAAGTCTGGCCCATGCAGGCCATCGAGAGGGTGAAGAGAAACAGCGGCAACAGGAGCAAGCGCAACATGATTGAAGCTGTGTCTAAAGAAGACGACAAGGAAGGGAGAAGGGAAAGGGCGTGGCAGAGGGAGAGATAACCCAAAAATGTTATAATAGGAATCATTTCCAAATGTTTGTTTAGTATTCACAGTTCTATAAGAGCTTAAAGCAAGCTAATAACCAAATTTCAATGAAACTGAAATTGTATCGAAAGATACAAAATGTATTGATAGACAGATGGATAGAAAGATGGATAGAATGATAGATAGATAGATAGATAAATATATAGATAGATAGATAGATAGATATATAGATAGACCTATCTATCTATCTAGATAGAAATATAGTTGGATAAAGTGAATGATAGTTAGACTCCTTTATTTTGTATTTTATGTCCTATCTCCATCTCTATCATCTATATATTCTATAGATAGATAGAATGAAAGTTGTACTCTATCTATCTATTTATCTATCATTCTCTTGATAGTTAGATATTAAATATATAATAATTGAACTAATATAACTCAAGAAGACTTCAACAGGTTCGTTCGACACTTGCAAACTCTTTCAGCACTTTGTTAATTAGAAACTTTCACACTTGCCTGGAATTCCGAAGATGCTTCTGGCCAAACCACACGCAGCGAGGTTGAGGCAACGTCTGAGGCTCTCTTGGCTCACACAGCGGCTTTTATAACCAAAGGAGCAAAGTGCAATTTCCCATTGATGGCAATAAAAGTGGCTACCAAAAAGGACAACTGGGCGCCCCAGGGGTGTGGGCCGCCTCGAGGCAGATGCAGATTAACTGTGATTATTAGTTGCCAATTGTTTTCCATGCGTGGCCAAGGCGGCATTTAGCACCCAGGCCACGCCCACCACCACTTCGGCTGGCTGATCAAATTGAATGCATTTGCTGATTGGAATCCTCGCTCCACGTTGTCGAGACAGCAGCCCGTAGTTAAAGTCAAAGTGAAAGTGGAAAAGGGTTACAGCATCTGTTTTCAGATACCCTGTAAGCATTTGATAATAGCTTGAGCAAGGGTGGTTTGTCACAACAATCAGTAAGGGTAGAGGAACGTGGAACTCTATGGTTCAAGTTCGACCAGACCAGCATATAGAATAGTGTATGGATATCCTTCACAGATGGAAATTACCCAGCAGAACTTAAATTAACTAATCAAGTTAACGCAACAGATTGCACTTATCGATAAGTATCGATTTGTGTCAACTGTTTTTTAGACTCTATTGATAAATATGTAACTAAGTCCGGGGGTACCCGACTAGCAAATACCGCGAACTCCAAGCAGTTTTGCTGTGATAAGCAAATTAAACAGAGAAAAAATGTTTATACATTAGACCTTTCCTTGAAGGGTAGCTTTTAGTATATCAATACAATCATGAGTTTTTTTTATTGCAATTACATGCCGTCTAATCCTTTTGCCAGGCAGCAAAGACGTGGGTTTAGCTTAGCTTAAGTCACTTAACCGAAATAAACCAAATAAAGTTATATATAGAACTTGACGTCTGAGAAGGTAGCCTATGTACATTCGTATAGAAGACTTCTTAATGGCTTATAGACTAGACAGAATATGTAGCTATTGAAGGTGGGAAGACTGACAGAAGAACAAACGGTCAGGGCTAAATCGACTCAGCTCGTCTTGATCAGCAGATAAAAACCCCATTTCGCGTTTTCAATGAGTTCCTAAACTAACAATAAGTAAGAAATCCAAATAGATTACGTTCTGTCCGATAACTTTAAAGACTTGGCACTAAGTGGGCAGACAGATGTGCTAACGCGGAATGCTAATTAAATGTTAATTGGGAATAAAAGTTATAAAATTAAGTAAGAAAGTTTTAGTCCGACTAGAAGATACCCTGAACCCCACACTTTCTAATTGGCCAAATCAATGAGATTAATAAAAAATGTGAAAGACTTACCCATGGGCTTGTTTCCCCGAGACATCTGCGGTAAGGTTCTGGGCCACCACCTCGGCCTTGCTGACCATATTTTTGAATTCTCTCAATTCGGTTGTGTTCTTATAGTTGTCGTAGTTGAGAGATGCGTTTCCGCTCTCATTCTCACTTACCTTCTCTCGACCAATTTTCAATAGCAATTTTTAAACATACTTAAATGACAAGCTTTATTATGTACTTAGAACTACGCGTATGAACATAGATAATTTCGGCAGTCGTAAACAGAGTTGACACCTAGAGTTCTGATTGGTGCACACATAATACAATCGCATCTCTCGAACACTGCATAGAGCGTGCACATTGCAACGATCGCAGTAGCAGACCCGATCACCGCGGCAGAGACAGTCCACTGCAGCAGATCCGATTCAATATGTACTGCGACGACCGAGCACAACACAGCAGAGCCGACAACCACAGCGTAGCTGAGCCGACCACCCCAAACCGAACCATATAAAAGAGCCTGTACTGAAAACGAACTTCACAACACGACACGACTGAGACAGCGACAAAACCCACCACGCAGAGTCACGATGAGAAAATTACCACGATATATTAGCACAGACATCAACTTGCGTAGCCAAGACAGAAACCAAACAGCTTCAGTATTTTATGAGATATGTGATTTAAACCTGGTTAAGAGGCTTAGGTGGCTAAGGCTGTTTAATGCTATGCTTAATTTAATGGCTTTTTTAACAGCAAATTTATGGAAATATTTATGACCAACTGCAAAGGCTAGTTTTTAGTGTGTTGTTTTAATAATCTACCTCGATTTAGAACATAGAGATTATAATTAGATGTGGCCAAGGCAGACATTGCATCTGCTAATGGAAAAGTTATGTTTTGCTAAAGTTAACTATATTCTTGCATTGCATAAACATAAAAATTCCCTTCAACTTTTGTAACGTATAAAAGTACCTGATATAATATATAAATTTGTATTAATTTTCATTTAAGCCATATCTCTTTTTTTGTATATTTTTGTAGCATCTTTTGCTAATAACAATAATAAGAATAATGCTAGTAGTAATAATTCATCAATAAAATGTGTTTTTCAACTTATTTGAGCGCTTAATGCTTCCCGAAATCGGCTGGCTCCACTGGATCAGGCACCGCTTCGTACAGCTCAGTTGATTGATGATGATTGACGCTGGGATACAATGGAGTGTCATTGTTGTTTCCACTGGCACTGGGTCTGGCATGAATGTTGAGATCTGTCGGCTCGGGTCTGTTGCCATTGTAGGCCAATCCATTGGCAAAGGACCGATGCAACAGGGCGTTGCCCGCCAAACGCTGCAGCTGCATCAAGCAACTAACCAAACAAACAAAGAAGAAGGGGAAGCATCAATAAATATGTCAATCAAAATCATTCAATCATTTACCGATCCAGTTTGATGTCGCTGGGCTTCTCCTGCATTTCAAAGACATCCAACATTCCCAGATTGTGGCCACTGTTCAGCAGAGCCGAGGGCGGAGCCCGTTTGCCATTGGTCCAGCCGCGAGAATACTGGAAAGTCTGGCCCATGCAGGCCATCGAGAGGGTGAAGAGAAACAGCGGCAACAGGAGCAAGCGCAACATGATTGAAGCTGTGTCTAAAGAAGACGACAAGGAAGGGAGAAGGGAAAGGGCGTGGCAGAGGGAGAGATAACCCAAAAATGTTATAATAGGAATCATTTCCAAATGTTTGTTTAGTATTCACAGTTCTATAAGAGCTTAAAGCAAGCTAATAACCAAATTTCAATGAAACTGAAATTGTATCGAAAGATACAAAATGTATTGATAGACAGATGGATAGAAAGATGGATAGAATGATAGATAGATAGATAGATAAATATATAGATAGATAGATAGATAGATATATAGATAGATCTATCTATCTATCTAGATAGAAATATAGTTGGATAAAGTGAATGATAGTTAGACTCCTTTATTTTGTATTTTATGTCCTATCTCCATCTCTATCATCTATATATTCTACAGATAGATAGAATGAAAGTTGTACTCTATCTATCTATTTATCTATCATTCTCTTGATAGTTAGATATTAAATATATAATAATTGAACTAATATAACTCAAGAAGACTTCAACAGGTTCGTTCGACACTTGCAAACTCTTTCAGCACTTTGTTAATTAGAAACTTTCACACTTGCCTGGAATTCCGAAGATGCTTCTGGCCAAACCACACGCAGCGAGGTTGAGGCAACGTCTGAGGCTCTCTTGGCTCACACAGCGGCTTTTATAACCAAAGGAGCAAAGTGCAATTTCCCATTGATGGCAATAAAAGTGGCTACCAAAAAGGACAACTGGGCGCCCCAGGGGTGTGGGCCGCCTCGAGGCAGATGCAGATTAACTGTGATTATTAGTTGCCAATTGTTTTCCATGCGTGGCCAAGGCGGCATTTAGCACCCAGGCCACGCCCACCACCACTTCGGCTGGCTGATCAAATTGAATGCATTTGCTGATTGGAATCCTCGCTCCACGTTGTCGAGACAGCAGCCCGTAGTTAAAGTCAAAGTGAAAGTGGAAAAGGGTTACAGCATCTGTTTTCAGATACCCTGTAAGCATTTGATAATAGCTTGAGCAAGGGTGGTTTGTCACAACAATCAGTAGGGGTAGAGGAACGTGGAACTCTATGGTTCAAGTTCGACCAGACCAGCATATAGAACAGTGTATGGATATCCTTCACAGATGGAAATTACCCAGCAGAACTTAAATTAACTAATCAAGTTAACGCAACAGATTGCACTTATCGATAAGTATCGATTTGTGTCAACTGTTTTTTAGACTCTATTGATAAATATGTAACTAAGTCCGGGGGTACCCGACTAGCAAATACCGCGAACTCCAAGCAGTTTTGCTGTGATAAGCAAATTAAACAGATAAAAATGTTTATACATTAGACCTTTCCTTGAAGGGTAGCTTTTAGTATATCAATACAATCATGAGTTTTTTTTATTGCAATTACATGCCGTCTAATCCTTTTGCCAGGCAGCAAAGACGTGGGTTTAGCTTAGCTTAAGTCACTTAACCGAAATAAACCAAATAAAGTTATATATAGAACTTGACGTCTGAGAAGGTAGCCTATGTACATTCGTATAGAAGACTTCTTAATGGCTTATAGACTAGTAATCTCTGTGCCACTGGCGGCATTCGCCTGGCCATTGCCTTCGTTATTTTGTGCCAGCTCCACGGAATTCTGCTCCTTGGACTTCTGACGTCGCAAGATGAAATAGCAAAGGCTGCAAGAGAAGAACAGATTATATAGAATATATACAAAATATGTAACTGTTGAAAGCCTACATAAAGACTAGAACATTGGGCACGTAGAAGATTTCGCCAAACAGAAAGAAGGCGCCCGGAAATGTGTCCACAGTATTCTGGTAGATTAAACTGTAGATGGGCGGGAATATGAATTGGGCAATTGGTTCGCTGATGCCAAAGATCGAATACATTTTGCCTGAGGATAAGAATATAATAGAAATAAAAGAAATATATAAATTCCATTGTGCAAGAACCCACTTAGCTCATCTCCCTCCACAATGCGGCTGCCAATGGCCTTGATGGCGATGACGCGCAGACTGACAAACATGTCCACGACGGTGGCCACGTAGAACGAGGTGGTGTCGGTGGAAAAGGCCTGAAAGAAATGAAATTTTTATTAGATGCTATTTATTTCAGTTTCCATATTGAGGACAGTTCCAGATTCACGTACATACAACAGACGTGAACAGACAATGGCCAGAGCCGAGAGTATGCCAATGGAGGGATCCGAAATCTTCAACATTTTGCTAAGGATGGCTGTGCCGATGAATGTACCCAATACAGCCGCCAGCCCGGATATGGTTGAAAAAATAGAGAAGTCATTGCCATTCCAGTTCAACTTCTTCAGGGTGAAGCGATACCAATAGTCATTCTCAGCCGCGCCAGGGCCCACGGTCAGGAAGAAGGCCAGAATAAGCAGAATCAGTAGAAGACGTCCTTTGTTCTTGCGCTTGATCAAAGGAAACCGTATGCATTCCATCACCAGCGTAGGATCAAAAAGTTCCTTTAGCAGTGAGCGTCTCACAACCGGCACAGGCGGTGGCTCCACTTTGGGTGGCTCCAATTGGGGTGTCAGTTGGAAGTTAACATTCTTGTTAACAGGCAGCTCATCCAAGTTTGTTCGCTCATAGGCCATATTATCCGCAGCATGGCCCTCCAGCGGGTTGTCCAGCGTTTCCTCGGATTTCTTTGGCTCTGGTTTGATCTCCTTGATGAAGAAGATGATATAGAGTATGGCAATAATTTGAAAGACAACCGCGCTGGCAAACGAAACTAAAAAGACAAGCATTGAAATATAAAGAAAAGAAAGGGTTTGCAAATGTGCTAATATAACTCACTTATGTAGCCAAGTGTATTGAAGAGAAATCCACTGACGGCGCCCAAAAAGGGCGCTCCGGTCACAAACATTGCAAAGATGCCAAACCGAAAAACGCGATCCTCCTCGGGCGTGGATATCGTTATATAGCTATAGACTGCCATCAGACAGAAGGTCAGACCGCCACAGACCGCAGGCACAATCGCCTCCAGATACATGCCAAACTCCATGGGCAGACTATCAAAGAAAATAGCCGAAATGAGCAAACCTACAAAGTACTTCACATTAATCTAATCAGCTCATTAATCCAGTCTTATGGCCCACTTACAGGTGAACATTAAGCCTTCGCCCACTATGGGTATAATCATGCATGGCTTGCGCTTGTTGTATCTGTCCGACCAGCCTCCGGCAAAGAGCAGTATAATCAGTGGGAATATGGCGGCTGTAGGACAGATAAGATAGGGTATTTTGACTTAGCATGACTATTCTAAAGATCAACTAATCATATATCTTGAAATACATCAAGAGAAAGTAGGTTTTTATTCATTCATTATTCATTATAGTCGCTTTAGTTATATTAACTATATAAAAATCATATCATAAACCATCCTTAACACGTTGCATATTTCATGATCGAATAGTAATGCCCTCTGATAGGGCATACGCTATATACCGGCAATCAAAATGTAGTGCAAGCTGATCATGATATATCATAGTATCATAGATGATCACCAACCATCAGCATCCATCAGATCACCCATAGAAGTTACATATTTATTCACCAAAGCATTGTACTCTTTGTCAGAGTATACGATCAATCAAATGTGAGTAGCCCAATGGACTATTCTACAAGCTCGCAGTTATCTCTTCTTCTTATTCTCATACAAATGTCTACTGAGAGACAGAAATGCGAATTGAAATTGGAATTTTATAGCTGCAAAATGCACAAGGCAAATTCAATTGTTTATTTTTGTTATTCTTCTGCTGCATTGCTGATGCAATGGTTGTCAATAAATGTTTTATTGTCATTTAACCAAATGATTAAAAAAACAAGAAAACCTATAACAATTACTGATGCCTTGACAATGACAAAACACGTAGAGGCTACACAAAAAAGGCCAAAAAATAGAAAAATGATCAATAGAAACAAAACTGTGTAATGAACCGGTTTTTGGAGAACGAATTCGCCCATGATTGAATAGTTAAGCGCAGAGCTTAAAATTTAAGCGTACGATTAAAATTTACGTAACCGAAAAGAATGCCAAGAATTTGTGATATATCAAAACCGAATGAAATTTTGTATTCTGACTATTGCATATCATTATATATACATATATACGCATACGTATGCATAGAGCAGAGAGATGTGGTAATACATAATGCGCATTGAATGTTAATTTTATATAAAAATACTAATAATAATTATAATAAAAAAGAACCTGAAAATATGATATTAAGCTATGCGAATCGCAGGCAAAACTGGTTGCACTTGTTCGACTACCTAATTGGCTACATCATTAAGATAAATATAGATGTGTGAGATTTACCTATGGGCGCACGTTTTCCCGAAACATCTGCGGATAGCTTCTGGGCCTCCACCTCGGCCTTGCAGACCGTATAATTAAAGCCGGTCGAGTAGACGCCCAGCAGAGTTTGGTCCATGGAGGCGCCCATGGTCGTGTTCTCGAAGTTATAGTCATCGCATTCGATGCCCAATTCCGATTTATCCAACATGGTCATGCAGGTGGCTTTGTTGTAGCCCAGATTGACGCGACATGCCTTCTCCAGGGGGAAGTTCTGAATGGCCACTTGGTTGAATACGGATGCCATAAAGTAGAAGAAGAAGAACGGCTCGATGACGAGATAACGACGGTAACGCCATAATCTTTGAATATAATTCAACTGGGGTTCCGGCTCGGCCGTTGTGTCAGTTGTTTTAGCCATATTTGAAATTTAGTATTTTAAGCTTCTATTTCGATTCTCATGTTAAGCTCGACAACACGTCGCGCCAAGTTCTAACGTTCAACTGTCGCTTGATCAGCTAAAGCAACGTCTCAGAAATACGTACAAGAAACTTGTTTAATTAATTGCTAGATTCTTTGTTTTCCTATCATTTCTGTTTGATAGATATTGAAATTTTTGTCACTGTGATGAGAGAATGAGATGCGCTTAACGATTTGAATGCGAGTGTTCCGCTCTCATTCTCTCCCGCTCACGCTTTCTCGATCAAGATTTGTGAATGAGAAATATTTGCGGTTCAATTTACAATAACAACTCTTAAACATACTTAAATGACAGACTTTATTATGTACTTAGAACTATGCGTGTGAATATAGCCAGTGTCGGCAGTCGTAGACAGAGTTGACACTTCCGTTTCCGTTGTTATTCCGTCCAGCGATGTGTACAATTCTGATTAGTGCACACATAGTACAGCCGCATCTCCTCTTCGGCACGGCGGGTTTGCGCCTGGAAGAAAACAGCTTCGCGATGCGAGCACTTGGGGCATGCGTGGTCTTCAGTACGCGGCAGCGTCGGATCCGATATCACATCGGGGACTATGTGCGTCAGTTCGTCGATTTCGTGCATAATCTTGTTCACATATATACAATTGGAGTCGGCTTCCTGTTTATAATCGCAATTACGGCACGCGTACATTAATGTTTTGTTATCCTTGTCTTCCTTAGGATACAACATGTTGTTGCATTCCTGACAGAAACGTATGCCTACAAAACCGGGGCCTTCGGTATGTGCAGAGTCAAATAAGCCAGCCATGTCTATAATGGTTATAAATATTTCATTATAATTTCTCTTTGATATTTACAGAAATTTACCTGAACTTGTGTAGCTAGCAGAAATACGAATGGCAAATTCACGATAGTTCTCGATAACTTTGCTATCAGTGATATCGAGCATTTACGCTTGAAAATATTCTTAAGTCACCAGTCAGTCACTGTGATATCGGCGAATATTCCTATTTAACCATTGAATTGAAATTTTTACCAAGTAATCAGTTAAACACATGTAACAAACTAAAAAAAAATGTACACTTGCATTTTTGAGCGAGTAACAAATTAAAAATGCGGCATTAATAATTAAATTTGGTCACACTTATTTCGGAACAGCTGTTTGTCTGTCTACGAATACTGCGAATAGTCAGACGCTAACGCCATTGTGTACGCTTACGTGCCTTTGCACGAGCTGTAAACTGTGAGTGAACTTATTTAAATAGATGTACGCAAAACTTGTGTTTCGTTTTTTTTTAAATTGAGAATTAGATAAGAAAGCTTAAAACCATCGTTTCCAATAAGTGCGCATAACGAAGATGTGCGAGTAAATAACAAACCAACGCTATCCCTCTCGCTCTCTCCAACTGTTTTTTCCATACATCTGTTGCATCTCGTTACAGTCGATCAGATCGACAACGACTTCAGACGACGTATGACTTTCATTGACGCAAGTTTCACATTTAATTAGAGAAACTACATTGCCGTGTTTGTGTGTGTATGCGTGTGTGTAACGCAGATGTAAAATAAAATAAAATTGAGATCTACAAATTGGCATTGAATAGTGGTAAAATTATCAGAGTTCTAAACAATATTCCTTTAAAGCCGGCAACAAAATATTCAATATTGAAAAGTATGCAACAATTTTCAAAATCTTATATTCGAATTATTTTCAACCCTAAATATATTTTTCACGAATAGTCACAGAGCGAGAGAACTTGTTGCGTTTCTTTTTCTTTTTGTCGTAACTAAGCACGTAGCGTGCTCTCGCTCGCTCTCTCAGTCGATCGGTAGCTAGCCGCCATTTTTATTGTGCGCTGCTTCTAGGCGTTGCTGACGTGACGATCTGGCAAAGTGATCGATTCAAAATAAATCACGAGCCTGAAAGTAGGCTAAATAACGCGACGTCACTGATCCTTGTTGTCCTGCATCTTCCAACAGGGAACGACCATGAGCGCTAGCAAGGACGCCGCTGCGGCAGCCCCTGCTACCAACAAAGAGACCAGCACACCCGTCATCAGAGTAATGGACGTGGAGAAAATGGTTTCACTGAAGGCGAAACGTAGTGGCACACGCATGAAGTTGCTCAACGATGTGACCGCAAAGGCTGCTCGCCCCAAACAGGAGAAACGCACCAGTATCAAGATACTCAACAACGATGAAGCCCAGAGCAGCTCGAAAGGCAGCGAGAAACGTGCCACGCCCAAAACGGTTAGCCCAGGTGTTAAAATATTAAACGAGAAGCGAATTACACCCTCTGCCGCAGCAATGGAAACAGCCAAAATAAAGACATCGCCCAGCAAGAAGAAGAAAATGGATCATTATGTACTGCAGGCCATTAAAAGTGAGAACAGCAAAGCCGACAACACGACAAGCGTTGTGGTTGTCGAGGACGACGACACCATTGACTTTATACTGGCCGATGATGATGTTGAGCTCGGAGACGCTGCCAAGGAGAATGGCGAAGAGTTTGTTGTATCTGGCGTCGAGGATGATGATGACGACGAGGATGATGATGATGAAGACGATGAGGTTGGGTCAGGAGGAGGTGCAAGCGGGGCAAAGCGCAAAAGTGGCAACAACAACAACAACGAGCTCAAAGAAATGGTCGAGCACGTGTGCGGCAAATGCTACAAGACATTCCGTCGCGTCAAGAGTCTGAAAAAGCATTTAGAGTTCTGTCGCTACGACAGTGGCTATCATCTGCGCAAGGCGGATATGCTGAAGAATCTGGACAAGATTGAACGTGATGCCGTGGTTATGGAGAAGAAGGACATCTGTTTCTGTTGCAGCGAGAGCTACGATACCTTTCATGTAACTGCAATCCCATCCCAGATCTAAATGTAATCTAATAGTTATTCCCTTTCTAGCTGGGCCACATCAACTGCCCCGACTGCCCCAAGTCGTTCAAAACACAGACGAGCTATGAGCGTCACATTTTCATCACACACTCAGAGTTCAACGACTTTCCATGCTCCATTTGTAATGCCAAGCTGCGTAGCTCTGCGCTGCTGAAGCTGCACGAGCAGCAACATCAATCCAGAGGCAAGCCTTTTGCCTGCAAGATTTGTGGCAAGGACTTTACGCGCTCATATCATTTGAAGCGTCATCAGAAGTATTCGTCGTGTTCGGCCAATGAGAACGATACCATGAGCTGCAAGGTGTGCGATCGGGTCTTCTATCGCTTAGACAATTTGCGCGCTCACCTCAAGCAGCATCTGGGCACCCAGGTGGTGAAGAAGCCGGAGTACATGTGTCATGTGTGCAAGAACTGCTTCTACAGTCTGTCCACACTTAAGTGAGTAGCGCTTAGTAGATTGCTGTATGCTTCAATTGCTAATTACCTTGTAATTCTCTTAGCATTCACATACGCACACATACGGGCGAGAAGCCATTCGATTGCGATTTGTGCGACAAGAAGTTTTCGGCGTTGGTAGCGCTCAAGAAGCATCGTCGCTATCATACGGGCGAGAAGCCGTATACCTGCACAGTGGTATGCACCTGTTGCTTCTCAAATAATGAGACTCCTGATTAATTCTTATTGCCCTTCCGTATATGCAGTGCAGTCAATCCTTTGCAGTGAAGGAGGTACTCAATCGCCACATGAAGCGGCACACGGGCGAGCGACCGCACAAGTGCAACGAGTGTGGCAAAAGCTTCATACAAGCCACACAGCTGCGCACGCATTCCAAGACACATCTGCGTCCCTACTCCTGCTCCTTGTGTATTCAAAAGTTTAAAACGGAAAAACAGTAAGTGGGACAGAATCCATATCTCTTTATACTTAACTTTATACTTTAACACAGACTCGAGCGTCATGTCAAGGAGCATTCGCGTCAGAAACGCCCCTCGTTTGCCTGTTCGGAGTGCACACGAAGCTTCCGCACCAGCGCACTTCTCAAGGAGCACATGGACGCTGGCGATCACTCGCGTAAGTTTCCTGATTGTATATCATACTGTACCCTTAGCTAAAAATTTCGAATAATTGTGGAATATAGCTGTTAAGCCGACTCGAGCTAAACGTTCGGCCAAGGTGATCGAGCGCACTGACTGTGCAATTTGTGACAAGAACTTCGATAGCACTGATACGCTCCGTAATCACATACGCAACGTGCACGAGTGCGATCCGGATGATATTTTCGGCACTGAGCCACCAGCCAAACGCAAAGCGAACAAAAAGACCGTCGTGGTGGTAGAAGACGAAGAAGAAGACGAGGCGAATGAAGAGAAAGACCAGGATAAGGAAACGCCGGCTGCCAACACATCAGCTGGCTCGCTCATCTCCAGCAAAACGGATGACAACGGTGTCGTGGTGCGTGAGTTTTTAGTGGATGAGGGTGATGGCAATGCGCAGACCATTGTGCTCGAGAACGAGGTGTACACCATTTTGCCTTTGGAGGGTGCAGCCAGCACAGCTGAGGCGACGGCCGAAGACGATGTCAAAGCCGAGTCGAAGGAGAAGCCACAGACGGCTGTGTCTCCGGTTGTCAAGAAGGAGCAGCGTAAATCGTTGGCCGCCAGCTTAGCCGCTGCTATTGCGGATAATCTGGATGAGCCGTCAAGCGATGATGAGTTCAACGGCGAGGTGCTCACTGAGGAGGACATAAAACTGAAGGAGAACATAGCGAAGCTAATCGATATGCTGGTCGACCCGCAAACACTCAAGAAATACAACTGGCCCAACAGCTCCGAGGAGTCGGTGCTATGCAAGGTCATCGAGAATTGTGGCCACGATCTGGCCAAGGGCAGCGAAGCCTATGCCGAGTTGGACTATGGCAGTCGCATGCGGGAATACTGCAAACTCTTGTTCACTGTGGTGATTCACAATGACTCCATAAAGGCGCTGCTCAACAACTTTCCCATCGACGATGTTATCGAGTACGTGCTGGGTGATGAGGACCAAGACCAGGATCAGGAAGCAGACAAAGGCAAAGAGAAAGATAATGTCGAAGAAAAATCGGACACGGACACTAGAGAGGATGAAGCTGATGAAGCTGAAGCTTAGAATTGTTCTGCATCTTATTTGTAAATACATTTATTGGGTATTCACAAGTCGGACAGCGAGAGACGAAAATTTTAATGCATGGATACATATATATATATGTATATATAGCAAAGGACAGCAGCCTCCGCTGTAAAGTACCCAAAATATTAATTTTGTTTAAGCATGTTGGTTTCGGTTTGAACACTAAGTGACCTTAAATAATGAATGATTATAATGTACCACCCATTGAACTGTTATTTACAATTTACATGCGATACTTCTATATGCTATTTTTTAAAAGAAATCTATTAAAGATATATACATTTATATATGTCGAATATCGTGTTCATTGACCTAACTGACTGTAATCCAAATCAAATGGCTTCCAGTCAGCCAATGTCTGATTTGAAAAGGTTTTATCTTAAGGGCTGGAGAAACTGTTCAGAATATTGAATGAATCAAGTCTATAATAAATATTTGCCTTAGATCTAGGATCTCCCGAAGTGAAATGAATCGAAAATCGGCATTTATTTGCGCGATATGTTGCCATTATAACACTTCTTAAAACTATCATAAACTAGTATATTCTGTTATATGCGGGTAGTCGGAAAAAGTTGAAGCTACCCTCGTATATGATTGTATATTTTATCATTGCTCCATCAGCATTCTGAGCAGCCGCTCATTGTTCTGCAGAATCTTTTGACGACTCTCGTCGACCAGGTCCTTGTACTCGCCAATGCTGGCCTCGATGGAGAGCAGCTGTTGCTTCATGGGCTCCGTGGCGGAGGCCGTGAGGCTTCGCTCCCGCTTTAGCTCAGCTGCTGCTTGGATGTAGGAATCCCGCCACATGCCCAGCTCCAGCTGCATGGCATCGATGTCCTCGGGTATGAAGTCCAACAGCTTGCCCAGCGGATTCACGGACTTGGTCAGTGTCTGTATAATATCTCGCAGATCGTTCATTTGCCTGGCCGAGCTCTGGCCCGTGCCTGCCGATGGCGCTTTTTGCTGGGCATCCTCCTTGCCCGGCTCACTTACCTGTCCTGCCACCAGCTCCTTCTGAGTGTCGAGTATCTGTTGAACCAGTCGGCCCTGGCCCTGCTGCTGAGCCTCCATATCCAGTTGGGCATCGGCTGTGCCCGCATCTATGTCATGCGCATTGGCATCCTCGATCACCACCAAGTTCTCGCCATCATCATCGAAATCGCCAAAGGTCTCCAGCTTCACATTGATCCCGGACATCTTCAACTGGTCATTCGGTTGCAGCACAATTTCTACATTGCGACGCCTTGGTGCCCCAGGCCGTGCCGAGGCTGGACGTGCACTTGGCGGACGCAACGACGTGCGCGGCCGAGTTATCGAGCCGTTCGATTCCTTCGAGTTCTCACGCGTAAAGGTGCCTTCTCGCTTGACTTCGCTGTTGTTGTTGTTATTGGAGTCAGAGACTGGCACAGTGGAGGCCTGGCTCTGTTCGCTAGCCTCGTTGCTGGCCACTGGAGCCTCCGGCTCGGGCGGGACTGTTCGCTGGCTGGCACTAGAGCGTCGACTTTTGCCAGAGGATTTGCGACTTTCCGGCTCCGCGGGCTCAGCTGGCAGCTGTTGAGCCTTGGGCAAGGGACTCTGTGAGGGCCTAGTAGGTTTGGGGGAGGCAACAGGCGATGGCTGCTTGACAGGTTTGGGAACATCTGTCGGAGCTGCAACTGGAGTAGCGGGTGGAGCGGTTGCAGCAGTTGCAGCCGGTGCCGGCGACATGGACTTTGCTTCACTGTCTGTCGAAGCTTGTTTGACTTTTGTTGGGGGCTTCACGGGCGATGGGGTCTTCTTGGAGCCCTGCCGGCTCAACTTGGACTTGGCTTCTGCCTCCGGTGAGGGCTTCTGCCGACGTTGAGGCTTCTTTTCCTTGTCTTGGGTCGCCTGCTCCGTTGCCTTGCGCAGCTTCTGCTCCTGAGGTGAAATGCGCTTCTCCTTTCGTGCCATGGGCTGGTCCTTGGCAGTTGGTGAGATTTGTTTGCTGCTCGCTTTGACTTCCTTGGCCTTAACTGGCTTCGGCTTATCGGTCTCGTTGGCCAAGATTTGCTGCACTGCATCATGCCAATCCAGACGCTGTTCCATTATGCTGGCCATAGCCTGCAACAGCTCATTGGTCAGCTTCGGCTCATGCCCGGCCACAATTTTAGAGGTGCGCACCTTCAAATCCTGCTTTGTGGTAAGTTCTGAAATCATCTCCAGATTGGTTAGGGTATGCTCTAGTCTATACAATGTCTCAAACTTACTTGTGGCATCAATCATCTTTTGCAGAAATCGCATTTTATCATTGCTAGTCAAATCGATTGGTTAGTCATAGTTTAGGTCCGACTTTATGTGGATGCCTTACCGATCATTGATGTTCTCGAACAGCTGCTCCTCCGGCGTATAGAGACCCTCAAAGCAACCCGTTTCCTTAATAAACTAAGCCGAGTTTAATTGAACGAGTTCCATAGCTAAAACCTTACCGCTGTAAAGATGTCCATGAGGTAGCGAAACGGAGGCTTCCGCAGCAGTTTCTCTGTCAGCGGAGGCTTCTTGATCCACTTGCCCAGGCTTTGCTGCGTGGCCTTTATCACAGTTGCATCCAGTTCCTGCTCCGACATGGTCACAAACTGCGTTAACCAAGCGGGTTTTTTAACAATTGTTTTCCTTTTGTTTGTTTGGCCCAAACCGTTGCTAAGGCAACGCTCCCAACCAGGTGGAAACTAACTACAGCTGCGCAGGCGCTAACTGGAAATTCCATGACTCGACACAACTAGATGAAATACGATTCATTGCAGACTCGGGTAGGATATTTATATAGAAAAGCTTTAGCTTGAGCTAATTGTTCCATGATCATTATATGATATAGTATAGATCAGATTTATATATATTTATAGATAACGCTATATAAACACAATTATATATTTATAAATATTTGCAGGAACTGCTACAACATTTAATAACAAAGTCATTCTAGTTTTTTAACACATTCTTACTTTATTTTGTTATTTATAAAATCTTCTCATACAACATGATTTGCATATTTTAGTTGGCCTTAGGATAGATGAGGACAGAACTCTGTTTGGGATAATACAAAAGATAGAAAGTAGAAGACGAAATACTATTTTAAGTTAACAAATAAACTATATTAAATCTACAAATATATTTCATATATATATATATATATATATATATATATATATAAACATATATATATTTAACAGTTATTTAACGGCCAATTAAAGTTTTGCAAACAGTTTATGCCAAAGAGCAGTCAAGTTATATAAATCAAATTGTAGTTGTAACTAAAGACTAAGTGTGTGTGTGTGTGTGTGTGTATGTGTGTTGCGTGTGTGTGTGTGTGTGTGTGAATTAAGATTAATAATTCTCATAGCTAAAAGTAAGCATTCCATTTAAAGCTAACACATACAAAAAACTCGTGGGAAGTGGGGAAGGAACAGACTTTGCAAGCAAATTGGCGGCAATTACAAAGGGCTGAACAGTTGGACTAATAATAAGATCAAAATATAACATAGATATCATTATATCATTATACGATAGTATGTTGTGTGTATATATAGTACAGGTTTAAATAGCGTAGCGCTTAACATATCTATATATATGTGGTATATAGTATATAGGTGTACGTATGTATTGTTTTTATATATTTATATAATTTACATTTAGTGCAGCATTTCGGGTTGCGCTGCAAATTTAAAAAACAATTTGTAAAATTAACTTTCGCTCTCTCTCGTTCTCGCTTTCTTGATATCTCTCATTCGCACAGTAATTCTAGTTAATTATAATGTCGTAGCGCGTGGTTAATGCTACGAAGCGCTTCGCTCAGCTGCTACAACTCAAAGAAGTCATCCTGCTGCTTCTCCAGGCGCTTCAGTGAGTTCTGCACTCGTCGTGTTTGCGTAGTATTCAAGAGCTGCGCCGTATCCGAATTCCCACTGCCCGTCGAGCTATGCCTCTGGTGGTGCGGCGGACGATTGTTGTTGTTGTTGCTGTTGTGGTTGTTGTTCTTGTAGGAGTTATTGAGGTGATGATTGCGGCGCTGTGGAAACACATCCGTTGTGGCACTGATGCAAATGTCCGCATCACTTTGACTATTCACCAAACTGCAGAGTATAAATATAGAGAAAGATTAAATGATGCTTTATTTTGGGGCCAGTGACAAGACAATGTTGTCAGCGGTGGAAGCTCTGGCAGCTGAAGCACTTACTCCTTGGATCGTTCGACATATTTGCGCGACTCAGATATCGTGTTATCAATCTTATTGAGGAAATCATTCATGCACTTGCGATTCTCCTCCTCGGGCGTCATCGCGGCCACCGAGTCCAGAGACTTGCTCTGCTTGGCGTTGCACGTGGCATTGTGATTGTGCAACATTAGAGCTGGATCCTCGTCGTTGGGCTGCACCACCAGCAGCTCGCCGGCAATTGAATATGGACGCGGTGTGCTGTGCAGCTGACCGGAACGTGTGCTCGACGAGCTGGACGAGATGTTGGTGTTGCAGCTGTTGCTGCTGCCGCTGCCACTGCCACTGCCGATGCCACCGCCGCTGCCACTGCTATCGTAGCAATTTGCTTGACTCAAATTGTTTGCATTGTTCAATGCTTCACGCTGCACATTCGCATCGGGCGTGGTGGGCGGCGAGGCCAGTGCATCGGCCAGCAGGTCAGCCCCATTTGCCTGCAAATTGTAGGGTGACGTCTTCTCCACGGGCACAAGCAAGAACTGACGCAAGAAGAGGCTGTCCGAGGCATAAAGGCGATTGACGCGACGTATTTGTTCCGTCTGTTGATATAATTAATATTGTTATTGGATCTGCGTGTAATTATATTAGATATGGATGAATCTATAGCTGTCAGCGCCAATTCCAGTGAAAGCTCTGCTACCGAATGCCAGCTCAGCTCCCTCAAATTAAAAACTCAAATATTTATTGCTTTCCTAAGCCCCATTTAATATATATTAAGTTGTCAATATATATGATATATCATTTATATAATGCATATCCAAATATTTAACTACTCAATAAATAATATTTAAGCTATCAATAGAGAAATCTGTCCGCCTTGGAGATTAGCAATCGACGAATTGTTAGCTAATTGACTTATTGGTTGAGTGATTGATCGATGACTGAGTTGACACGATTCGCACACGTTAGATGCGAATCACAACGATGATTAATTGGCCAGGTAAATTCACTGTGTCATTATACAATCCAGTTCGCTCTCTTTCTCTCTTATCTCTGTAGTAGCTGATCAAATGTTGACACAGATTCTGTTGGCACTCTAGACCTATCTAGTTATACATACTAAAGTGATATGCAGCAGCTGTCGGAACATTTGGCTGCAGCATTTCCCCCAACTTAAAATTCCTTGATAAGACTGAAAACTCAAATAACGATAAGCAATTAGACGAGTGGTCGTAGGTTGCCGCTACTGCAGTGCAGCACCCAACACCTCCCCCTCCCAGCCCTGTCTCCGCCCTCTAATCCCTTTCTATTATTTGTATAGGCCACGTCGAGCGACTGTGGGTCTTTCCGTCTGCTTATTAAATCGATAAAGTTGGAAGTTAGCTGACATTTGAAACGTTCTACAATTTGCATGCGACACGACAGCAACACAGAACACAAGCCAGACATTGCAGTCAAGCGCAACTGACTGCATTATACTCGCTCATGAGGCAAAGTAAAATTTACCATGAAATTAAGGGTATTCTTAGCTTATTGGTCTATCGATAGAGGTTAGCAGTGATAAAATCTGAAAGCTCTGGAATATGCATTCCCTACGATGCCAATGGGAGGCTTTAGAATATCTTTATGAGACGAGCCTTCAATTGGGAAGGTATTTAAAGACTTTATATACCCTTTCTTTAAACTGACAGCAAGTCTGACATTGCACGAAACCAATATACTTTTTCTTTTCACTTTGTGAACGAGCATAAAAAGAAGCCATTGCTAGTTGCAAGCCATGCCACACGTGCAATCCACCTACAAATGAAAAGTTGTAAAGGGAAATGCTGCCCGCATACTGCATGCGAGGGTAGTATAAAACATATTCAATATTAACATATGATTATTTCTGCTATATATACACACTTAAGTTGCGCTCGCATGCATATGTATTCCCACTATGTTATATTTTAACAAATCTTCAAAAAAGAGCTCTTTCTTCAGTTTTTTTTATAATCTCTTAAGCTTCACAGTAATTTTCCATACTCCTTTGCATATATGAGGTTTGTATATAATTGAAATCAATGTTTTTTTTTAAATATATGTATATAATATTATATTTGTTACATGATAAAATAAATATTCCTATTTTCACTTCATCCCTCATCTTTCAACTCTTTTCGATTTTCACCAGAACTGTTTGTACCACCCTCGCATATGGTATGTTGTCCATTTGAAATCAATGTTTTATGTCACGCTATCACTTTCACTTAACTCCCTTGGAGCAATCGAGACTTAATAATTGATGTTTACATACCGTTGCGCCATATTTTAGCGAAATTCCTTGCAGTGTATCCGTCTTTTCCACTGTGTGTCGTATAAGAATTTCATTGTTTCTCAGATTGTTGCAGCAGGTGCTGCCATATTTCTTGAGGGTGCGTGAGGAGTCGCGTATTGATTGTTTTTCGTTGAACATGAATTCGGTATCATCCATATCAGGCACGATCTCTTGAAACTGCAAAGTGAAAGGAGGAAAGTATTCATCAACTGTTCAATTACACTCATTTAATTGTTTTTGTTTTCATTTTGTTTTTATTTTTCGAATTTTGACAAGAATTGCTATGATGTCATTGTTTTACCGTTACTAATGCAAACACACACATATGTGTGCGCGCTTTTATAAATATAAATAGCACACAACCTGGTAGTTTCTGTGATTTGTTCATTGGATGTGCCCCACTCACCTGACTCACCTGAACTCCCTCAAAACGGTAACTGCAACCAAGCGAAACCGAAAGATATAGCAAAACTAATACAGCAACTATTATAGACACATTTTACTCAGGCAACGTAGACGTTCTCCTTAATTGAATTCACTTTTTTGTAGTGTTGCAATAATTTATTATTTATATTTTTTCTACTGTGCTTTCGTTTTTTCAGCACCGTTGACTTACAGCTGCGATTACTACGTGTTTACAAGTTGTTGTTGTTGTTGCCGTTGTGTGTTGTACTGCCAGTATGACCGTAGCACTCAATCGACAAAATGCCAAAAATACCAAATCATACTAGGGATGAACAATTCCGTTTATGCTCAATACGAATCACGATAAGCCGTCTTTGCTTGTGACCTATTTAAGACAACGGCACGTCGTGTCACGTCATATTCATCGCTACTTTGGAGCCGCGCTCAATATGATATCGATTACTGCACTCATAGCTGTGCACAGAGTTGCAATACTAGAAGTTGAGCGCGTGTTTTTGTTTGTGTTGACTTTTGTTTTGTGCAAATGTTAATTTGCGTTTGTTTCTGTTTTTATTGCTTACGAGAGCGAATAATAATTTTTTTCACGTGATAGCTAAGCCAACGTAAGCGCCTTTCAATGTGTGCATTGTATATGATGTTGTTAGGCTTAAACCTGTTTGGACAAAGCAGCGAGAAGTCAACAAAGACAAAGCAGCTGGTTCGTTGGGTTGCATATGGAAATTATTCGAAACGAATTGCCGGCATGACTTTTAATTAACATGTGACTTTATTTATTAATGATACCTCCATATTTAATTTGTAATAGTAATGCATTATTGCAAGACAACTAACAGAACAGAGCAGCAATTACTTCCTTCAAGACATAACATGCATACATACATACAATAGCCATATATGTACATATGTATATGCATGTATGTAAGTGTGTGTGTGTGTGTGTATTGAGTTGTGGCTCTTAAGGTTAACAACAAAGTTGTCGCAACTGTTGTCAAACTGTTTTCTGCAATAACAATATACGACCAAATAAAAAGAGCGAAAGCAATTGAATTAGAGAGAGACAGCAGTCTATTGTATGCTGGGTAAATAATAACTGTTATTTTAGCGCAACTGATAAGCGCTTCCCACTCAGCGACTATCAGACGACAATTCAAAACAGTTTCACCTAAATTTCGCATAGATTTGAAATGGAAAGAAAAAAACGGTCATTGACATACACAAATCGCAGAAGCTAGTCACGCGCCGGGTTTCCCTCAATGGGATTTCGGTATACACATGCATACATATACACGGATCTATAGACATATATCTATATATATATATATAGATATATATATATATATATATATATATATATATATATAAATATATATATATATATATATATATATATATATATAAATATATATATATAAATATATAGATGTTTAAATATATTTTATATTTGCTGCGAAAGCTCTTTAAATTGTCCATGCTGTGCGCAACTGATCTTTTGATGAGCAATCAGCCCCCACAAGAGAATCAAATAAATGGTCGCTAGTCAAAAGCGATCGACCTGAAGATGCTCTGTAAACGTGTATTCGTCATTAATTACAACTATAATTGAAACGATATACAGCAGCTAAGTAACCATTGTAAATAGGTCGACTAGCAGATAACCTGAATACTTTGACTATCGCATTTCTAGTTGTTAGACCACAAATCTATTGCTATCGTTATTGATAGTTTCATAGTATCACTAGACAATAGATACCTCCTATACAGTTTATATGTCTGTTCTTGAAACGTTTAATGAAGTTAACTTCGAATGAACACATACATTTAATTTTGCTATCGATAAAGTAGATGAATTATGAGATTACATTTGCCTAAGTATTAAACAAATATACCCCATTTCTGTTCATTTTTAATGGGTATATGAAAAAGGGGACTTTTCAATGATTGCAGAAAAGAAGACACGCTCCGTTCGGAAAGTGATAATTGTTTATTGTCTAATTGTTTATGTCTATCAAAAGACAAGCGTGTGATTTTGCACAGAATTAGACAGTCGAAAGAGTTGCTAAATGGAAATGTCAGACAAGACGGAATTTATGCATGTGACTCAGTTGTACGAATGGACGTTGCGACGTGACGAGGGCCAAAGAGCTCGAAGAACTCTTCAGAGACATTCGTATAGATTCCGAAGGTCAGTCCAAGCTAATTGCAACTGATCGATAACAGAGTCCGAGTCGATAAAGTTTGCTAATCAAGTCGGCTTTCAACAGTGACTAACATAAATATTCGTATGACGATTGCCATAAATTTAATGATATCGCTTGCAATCTATTTCAAATTTGTTGCTGTTGTTGTTTGTCGTTTGTTGTTTATGTAAGTATGTCTGAAATTTATGGATTCGTGCAATCGCACACAAATTATTGGACGAAGGCCAAATTAAAGTAACAGTTGAGGTAAGCTTTATGGCAGTCAGTGTTTAGCCGTCGCACTATCTTTAGTATTAATTAAAATTAACAAAATAGGAAATTGCAAATTGATAAAACACACCAAAAACAAAAAGACCAAAACGAAAATACTGCACCAAATCGTACGTGACATAAATTAAAGAAGCTTTACACATATCAATTCAGATATTATTATTATTATTATGCATGACAACTGCGAAATGGAACGTTTTTATTCACACACACACACTCCCCTCGTATTGCATAGCACGATCTATGATAGAGCTGGGCTCGTGACACGAGTTGCTGATTTAATATTCGTGTCTATCTCAACTGTGAACTATCTAACAGTAGATTCAATTGACGTCCAACAACAAGACAAACTGTAATTATCTGTAAGTTGGAATTATCGTCACGAGGCCATCTCTAGTTTTTCGATAACTCACATTTGTTATCAAGTGCAACATATTGTTAAGTTGGTGCTTCAAGTCGAATTTCGATAGATAACTTAATTTTTTATCACATACCCGCAGCTAAATGCTGGAGTACGTGCTGAGTGCGTGGCACGACTAAGATTTCCCTCTGATTTGCTTTAACTATCGTGCTTCAAATTTATGTTTTTTATGTTTTTCATAGTCTTAAAGGGGGCAAAACGAGATGCTGTGTACCAATCAACTGTCCCTAAACATCCAGCCTCCAATGCTTTCTGTCTAACATGTTTAATTAACTGATAATGAGTTGTGTCTACTACAAAGAGCTGCTACAAAGACTCTCGAAGCATTACTCAGTGAACAATGGACTTGTACTTGTACTTGAGGCATTGACACACCTGGCCGGCCTATTGTAATGTGTAGAAACAAACGATTCTATATGAGTCGACTATGCCAGCGCTCCATCATGTTTGTTATCAATTGTTGGCTCTTATATCAGATCCCTTTGCCGACATTCTATATATCAGGCTCAACTTGTTCCGCCATATCAATTGTATAGCCCGCGCGTTGCACTTGAAAATGTAAAGCTCCATACCCAAAAGCCAAGTGCCACAATCTTAAGTGGCATTAAGTTTATTTATGTAGTTTTATGTACATATATTTTCTGACAAATGAAATGGATGGCTTCTCAGTACTCTTCAGATACGAGTGAGCATATAATATACCTCTATATGTGCATGTTTATTAAGGTGTTTAACTTTCTGTTTGCTCAATTGAAGGGCAACGTCATCCACTAGTTAAGCACATTTGAAGCTGTCCGTCTAGTATTCTACTACGTAATACCCATTACTGGAGACATCTGTTACGTGCAGTAAAAATATATTCAACGTGACTTCTATAATGTTTCAAAGTATAAATTCCTTTTTAACGAATACCTTTTGCACGGGCGGTAAAACATATATAGAAAACTTATGGGAACTTAAACTGCAATAAATACACCTATCAATAATATTATAAATAATGTTTATCAGTTTTTGGTTTTTTTTTATTATTTTTTTGACAGTGACAGAGAGGGGAGGGATAGAGAGAGAGACGCGTATGCACTGTGAAGTCTTTACTAAACCGCAAAAATATACTTTAAGATATAGATTTACATTGAGATATCGATCAATATCTTAACAAATCTAAAGTTCTCTACATTTCTTCAATACATTTCTTAAGCGTAATTAGTTAGCTGTCATTAACATTTTAAATATATATTTAAATCGAGTCATTAAGCAACTTAACCGCATATCCACAAGTATGACATATATATATATAAAAACTTGCTGCGATTAATAATAAAGTTAATTATACGCGATTGCCGTTAGCTTTGTACAGTAAATGGAATACATATAAATAAGTATATATAGACACATATATATAGAGATAGACACATATATATGTATAGGTAATCAATCTTCTTTTGAGGTTTTGATTGATTATTGCCAAGAATTTAATTTCGTTAGCCTTTAGAGATCGTAGATATCTGGAACCGTTGATGTATGGTAATATATTATGAGATATATATAAATATATTCACATATATATATATATAATTATAAATATATATAATTATAAATGGAACTTCGCAGTTTTGGGTGGCCAAAATAGACCAGAGATTAGATTGCCTAGGTTCTTAGAGGCAATCTCGATTCCATATTGGGGCAATAATCAAACAAAGCAAATTCTCAAAATGACTCAAAACAACGGTACAAATTTCTGAAAGAGGCAGAGAGGGAGAAAGAGAGAGAGAGAGAGCGAGAAAGAAAGAAAAGGTATTGCTTGAAATAAAAGTAAGAAAACATGTTTGTAGCGTTGTTACTACATTCACATATTCGCATTCACATTCACATTCTTTTTCCCATTCTCACTCACACTCACACACACAACACTCATATTCGTATTCATATTAATATTAAATTTATCGGTTCCTGCAAAGGCAGCCATTGATTGAGATAACTGCCAAGTTAGTTCGAATTTTTAAGATGTTTGTTCTTTTCGATAACAATACGAGGGCCTATTAAATAAAATACTAAAGCAAAGCCTGACTATAACAAATATATCTTTGGAGCTCTTAAATATAAAACATAAGTTACGATATTTAGAATTTTATTTCTCAAGTTTATCTTTACCGTTTTTTCTTCAATATTACAGTAGACTATGCCAAAACTGAACAGTAAACAAGAATTGAGAATATAAAATTGATGTAAAAACACGTCGCTTTCATAGCATAGGCTTGATTCACTGTACTTTAAATGTAAGCTGTAGAATGTTTTTTTTTGTAGTCTTTTGCAAGCATGCCAAACCGGTTAAGCGAAAAATAAAGAGAACAAAAAATAACTAAATATAGCTATATTGGTTATTAAACAAATACGTCAAAGATAATGCCCAGCGAACTGGTTAAAACAGGAATTGCAACAGGAAGCAGAAAACGAAACGCCAACTCTGAGAATACTACAGAAAAAACCCTATTAACATGACCATTTCCACTTCATACTGAATCACACGACGCTCACCTCATTACCTCTACCTCAGTGTCAAGCCAAGAAATTACCATGGAAATAGTTTTGACTCACTTTACGCACTGAGTAATTTGATAGACTCGAATATTGAATAGACCTCGGAAGGCATTTGGGTCGATTGAAATGACAAACGGTTTCTGGATAAGTAACAAGATAAGCCCAGTTGCCCATACAGTGAATACTCAATAATAGAAACTGTAATGCAAATGTTAACTGCTTGTGTCAATAGGAAAGTCATGCAAACTGGAAAGATGTTTGTTCCACTAGCACAGTGAATACTCGTTAGAGCTAACTCTAAATTTTGCTTTTTATCCATTTCTTACTTTCGGATTCTAAATACTCGAAAGTTGTTCATTACTCGAGCATTCACTGTCTGCATGCAAACGTTTTGGGCCTCTAACGAGCATCGAAGCGTCAAAAGCAAAAACTCTTCAAAATGGCGCCCAGTTGGTAAAGCTGAATAAAACCGGCCCAGGGCCAGGTTCTTAACGCAGCAAGTTGGCTTTAAGGTTTGGGCATTGAACCCATCGAAGGTGCAGACCCAGCCCAAGGCTAAGGATATTTATAGAACAGATCGGGCGCATTCCAGAATGCCGAACCAACAAAGAAACGTACAAATTGCAATTGCGAGTTTTCGTTTTTATGTGTTTATCATATGCTTTGGCCTAATTAACAATAAAACTGGCAAAAGCAACAAAAGGCATTGTAATCGAGTCTATTCAATGGCACAATACTCTGCTCGATGAGAAGTACTCTTGAATAAGCTTTCAATTAAACTGCTTTCCTCTAATGACTGGCTTCACTTTTCCTCTTATGATGATTCGACATTGAATTAGTATGGATGATATATATGTATATACTCTCTTCGCGCACAGTGCGTACAGTGTATATTAAGAACAGGCGACGCACATACGTACATAATTGTATTTGGCTTTATTCACTCGTTGCACTCATTTGCAATTCAGACAGAGTCGCACAAGTTGGCCGCATTGCTGACTGGCTGACTTGTTGCTGTTGCTGTTGCTTTGGGCCAGATGTGCGATTGTTGACTGTTGGCAGTTGGCTGTTGACTTACTCATCGCCTGGTTCGTTGGCTACGATCCGCACTAACAGCTATAGTCGCAGTCGCAGTCGCAGCCAGAGTCGAAGCCGTAGCCAAAACCATGCTGCACACTTTGGTGCCATTTGCAAAACTTTAAAGAAGTTGCGAGTGCTCAGCCAGCAGATGCCCTGTATATTCGTATGTCTATTCCCCTAGCTAAGTTATAATCAGAGATCAGAGTTAATTTAGAAAAGAATGCACTATAACGGTAAATATCGATATTGCTCAAAAGATACAAGTCTCTTATAAAGATGTAAATATATGCTAAAAAAAATCATCTGTTTTACATAGGTAATTAACAATTGTTCGAAACATATAAACTTGTTCATAAACTATTTTAGCCTATACGTACTTTTAACCCTATGAATATATTTATCGATATTATAAACTAGCATAAACTGCACTTATCGTCTATCGATATATTTATATATTTTATGCATGTTTTACTCTTCTCTGTCAGCTGAAGCTGCATTGTTGCCAAACTGCTAGCAATTACAGGGTATATAAATACAGCAAATACCAAAAGGTAACGTTCCATTCAAAGTGGGCTTTCTTGGGTAATGCGAGAGCATTTCGACACGATCGTATTTCAAGAGAATTATTTATTATTTTGTGTTTTGTGGCGGCGGCTGCTGCTGCTATTGCTGCTTTGCCTCCAACTGATGTTGGTTAAAAAAATGTATTTTTAAATGCGGTTAAGCACCTCGGCAGGGGCCTCAGCAAAAGTTTCTGCAGTCATTCTGCGAGTGTGTGTGTGCTGAATAGATCTGAGTCTGAGTCTGACTTTGTGTGGCATGATTGTTGCCCACATTCACATACATACATATACCTTTTTTCCACTCTTTAAGCCAACAAAAGCTAACGACCACGAGGAACTGCCATGACTTCATACTGTGGCTCTTATAAACGAATAAATATATATATGTATACTTTATTTATATACGTTTCTATATATAATATATATAGTTTTTTTTTCAAAACTGATTGACGAATTTGCTCTGGATTCGTTTTCGTTTATATGGCAATTTGCGACTGATGACATTTTAGACCTAAGCTAACCTAGAATATAAACTATGATTTGCCTAGTCATAAAATATCCTGTAAAACGATCAGGTATAGATCGAGGTATACAAATATACGACCAGAACGTTCTTCATAATTTTCTGCATATGATTTATATTTTACATAATCGTATGTATTGGTTACATATTCATATATATATTATTTTTATATAGTCATCTGTTTCCGTAATAAGTTATGAGTAACGTTTCGGCTATACGTCTACAATTTTGTAATTTAATCTGTTTCACAGGGTATTTTCGAGTCGTGCAACAGCTTTCGTTCTTCAGAAAATTGCGTCACAAACGGCTTTAATGTAATAGCATATAAATAGTTGTAATTTGTAACCTAACCTCAACCTCAAAGATCTATATATATATATATAGATAGATATATTTGCATACCCTGCACTCATTAAAAATTGGGTATAATATAATTGGATATTCTCTTATATTATATTATAGATTTGTATATATTTTCACTTCTACTTACTTGCGAATGCAATTTCCAGTCCTTGTAGGCTTTCACAATATAATCCATTTCCGCGTCTTTTGTTGTCGTTTTCGGTCTTTATGAATAATCTGCGTATGAGACGTAAACTTATCTAAGTATATATATATTTATTTTATTTTATTTTATTTTTACAATAAATCATTCACTTCACTCTCACTGAACGCCGGTCGTTCATTTGTTTTTATTGGAAATTTAAAATATTGTTGATTTATATTTTGACTATAAATCAATTGCTTTATTTATTTTCGTGATAGTTAACAATTTGTTGTTTTTTATTATTATTATTTTTGGCTTTTCCCTTTTGGGATTTTTCCATAAAGTTCCCTTGAGTGTTCCAAAATAATAATAAAATAAATTATTCTGTTTACTTTGTAAGTTGAAAGTTAATAATTATTTATACATTTTTTTTAAAATGTGTTTTCAATTAATTAATCTATGAATCAAATGACTAATCATTTTCATATTATCATTCATATAAAAACTATGTTGTATGTAAAGTGTGAATGAATACAATATATATATGTATATATGTATGTATGTATAAAACAGCTATGTATGCATATGTGCTCTCTTTTTTTAGGACATCTTTAGCACTTATACATTTATGAACCCAATATTTTCCCTCCTATAAGACAAATCCAAGATAAATGCATTACGTATTTTCTGTAAGCATATCTCTAACACATATACATACAAATACAAATGTATTCATGCATTCTCTTTTAGGATAATTTCCCTTTGAGATCTAACTCTTAATTATTGTATTTGCTCTTTTTTTCGGCTATGTTTTCATAGTCTGTTGCATGCTGTATACACATTGCTGACTAACTTTAACTTTTAATATAATGTAACGGTTTCAGACAAGGCCAAAGATGAAAAAACCCAAAGAAATCGGTTGTCTTTACACTTGTGCAAACCTCCAGTGTGGCTTTTCAAGCAACGCACGCTGGCGTATGTATGTGAGTAGGTGTGCATGTGTAACTAGGTATGTGTGCGTGTGACTGAATTTGTTTTCCGTCTGCGACAACGTCAAGCGACAACAGGCGACAACGCGTGTACCGCATTTCGTGATCTTTTGCAGTTGCCGTTGTGTTTTTTATCTACAAAAATTATTTATTTATTATTTTAAACTTTTTTCAGTTGAGATTTTTTTGCGAGACAACGAGCCGTTTGTTTGTCGCTTATGCAGCACAATGGAAATGTATACAACATATACATGCATATGGAACTGAAAGTGATGCTGTGTGTGGGCATAAATATATAATTAATAATTGTACATTTTGTACATTTGTTACAGATGCTGGGACGTTTAGCAACAACTGAAGCTTCAACTGTAACTGTTTATGCGCGCTTTCTGTGAGTGTAATTGTATTTAAAACGCAACCTCTTTATTTATAATTTTGTTGGTTTTTTTTTTTTGGTAGTCACTGGCTCACTCACACAAATAAAACTGGCAGCAAAGATGACGGCGACGGCGACGGCGACGACGATGAGGACGGCGGCGACAACGCGAGCGATGCAGGGAAGGGTAAGAGGCGTTTGCTCAGATTTTCGCAGCGCGCACACACGATAAATCGACTAATACTAAACACTAACACTAACAACAAACACACAGCCTGGCAGTGGACACCCTGCCAACCAGCTTCAAGTAACGCTCGATAACAACTGACTAGCCGAACTCCAGCCCAGCGAGCTTCAAGCGACAGCAGCGACGTCAGCGACAGCGACAGCGCCGATCGGCCGTCATATGTAGCTCGCGAGCGCAAATTAACGTAATGCTCTTGCTTACGTTTTGTCAGTCCCACGCTCTTGCGCTCTTTTACTCATTGGCCCATTGCGTTGAGCTGGAGTGACTGCCTGGAGCGGGAGAGAGAGCGAACAAGCGACCGAGCGACTGAGTAGTACTGCATGCAATTGAAGAATTGGGCTATTCTATGCAGACATGCATACATGCACGTTCCTATGTGTGCATATTTTATGTATTTGTTTATGTGCTTTTCGACACCCACGCTCATAAAATATTGCCAGTGTACTCACCCACAGGCACACACACACATGTAATAGATTGAGCTTAAGTGATAATCATTTATTTTGTTTGTTGTTATCATGTAATTAAAGAGAAATCCACTCGTCACCGTGTGTAAGGGGCAAGGTAACAAAATGGTAGGATTAACAGCAGAGCAACAGGTCGTTGATACACGCACACAATGCAATCTGCTTGGCCCATTTAACTATCTGGCAACGCCGTCTTTGTGTTAGTGATACTTAATTAAGCTGACAGACAGACAGTTCATTAAGCATAGTTACACTTAAAATAAATTTAAGTATGCACCGAATTACTCTTTTGATTTTGAAAACGATTTATTAAGTGTAGTGTAAGATATATTCTGTGGCTGCTGAGCTATAATGCTCGTACCAGTATTGTCAATAATTATGTTTAAAGTTTTTATAAATAGTCTTAATTTGTAGATGTTTTGCTCAGTGTAAAAATTCATATTTAAGCAAAACGGCAAATCGCTAAACACAGACAGCGAGCCTTACAAAGACCGCAGAGAGAGGGTGAGAGAGCGGATCTGGGGATTTTTCTCAGCAATATGTATGACGGGAAATGGGGAATTTTTTGTTTACCTATTCAATGAATAGAAGAACTCATCATATTTTTCCGCTGACAATGCAAACTCTTTGATCAAGACTATCTGAACAAGTTGTTGTTTTTTGATTTTTTGCAATAACAAAATATAGTATAGTTGAAAACAATATTTCGATAACCGTTATCTGACTTAGCTAACCTACTAACGTTAAAGAGTTATCAATAAATGTTTGCAAAATATATGACATGATAATGTACATACATAGATACATACATGCATACATATGTCCATGAAAGGTGTTGCTAGGTCCAACTAGAATACCGTTAAGATAAAGTGAGAAATGTGATTCAATTTCTTTGTAAATAAAAGTGAAACTCAAACACAATAAAGATCTCCACATACATATATTTGTTTTATGAATCAAAGGGAAAAAAGTGTGTTAATTAGGAAGACATGCTCGTAGGATTTTTGCGCATCTGCACATTTTAATATACTTTTATTCATTTTTTTCTTGTTTGAGTATTTTATATTTGAACAAATTGGACAAAGGCATCGGCCCCGAGAGATGGGCTGGTAGCTGCCAAGTCACATTATGGCTCAATTATTGAGATGCAACTAATTTGTAAGGCAAACAGACTGACCAACTGACGTCTCTCAGTGTATTTGTGCATATAATACCTTTTTTGTGTGTATTTATTATGATTATTGGACACTAATGTAAGATGTGTGACACCTGTGAAAAACAAACTGGTTATCATTCGAAACAGTCAAGGCTAAGTCAAATATGTAATATAGCTATATTTATTTTGTAGCCATTACATTGAGCGAGTTTCCTATTCTAATTTGATTAAGAGCGGAAAATGTAATTAACAACTTTTAAATGTGATCACCAGTGTGTACAAACTTACTAATTTAAAAAAGCCCGCGCAAGTTACACAACAGAGATTCTATTCAAGTGTGTGTGAATGGGTAACATATCCATCAGATTTTTATCAACCATCAATCAAGGCTAACTATCATAAGTTAAATATCTCTGATTTATAATATCTGCAGTTAAATTAATGCGATATTCTAATTCAATTAAAAACTCTTAACACCTTTAATTGGAGCGCCAGTGTGTACACACTTGCAATTAAAATAAGCGCGGGCAAGTGTTGTAGCAGGCAATTTTCTATTGGCGCAAAATGTGTTTTCTCTGATCTGGCAGCACTTTCAAGCTGCTTATATTTACACAAAACAATAACAAACAAACTGTTGCTCATTTCTAAAAGAAAATACAACTCTTATAAATTATATATTTGTGCGAGTTGTGATCCACAGTAAACTAATTTACAGTTTCTGTAAATAGCTAATATATAGCGCCCTATTAATGTTGTTTTCTTAGGCTGCGGTCAGCTGATGCGGTCACCGGTTGCATTTCTTATTAAGATTCTGTTGCTTACAAGAGACGGGCACACTGACAGTTAAGACCGCAATTTTGCCCAGGTAAGACGCGTTGTCGTTGTCACCTGATTGCCACGGTTAGTCGGAGAAAAAGCATTTTTAAAATTTCGAATCGAAACTTCCGTTATGTGCGCGCGTTTGCGTTTGCTGCGCTGTGAAAGTACAAATTTAAATAAATTCGATTAACACCAGCGAGAACGACAACAACAATAACAAAAGTGAAGAGAACGTGTGCTAATATATATATATGAGTGTATGTGTGTGACTGTGACTGTGTGTGTGTGCGAGTAGTATTGGCTGTGCCTGTGTTGGTCGGTTGTTAAGAAATTCCAAGAAGACCGCAACCAATAATAACAGCAACAACAGAAATGTCACACAATAGACGAAGAGTGCGCACTATTGAGTACCTCACGCAAATGTCAAATACGACGGCGTTGGCAGCGCTGTCGGGAATATCGCCGACAGCACCATCAAAGGAGTTGCCCGTAGATCTAGCTCCAGTTTGCGCTCCAGCTCCTACTCCAGCTTCTGCTGCTACAGAGTCAACAACACCAACAACGCCAATAACAGCGGATCCACCCGTAATTCCAGTGCCCCCAATTAGATTACGACGCGAACATAATGTCGATGAGGATGTTGCAAGGTAAGCAGAAATGGTTACAACTCTGATTTTCCGCTCTGTCGCTGCCGGCGTCGTGAAAAAACCCAAAACATTTCTTGTCCTCTCTTATAACACAAACACGCACGCACACACATACGCGTATAGCTTACATGCTTGGAGAGTGGAGTGTGCATGTAACAGTGTGTGAGTGCTCGCGTGCGCTCTCTCCCTCTCTTTGCCCGAATATTTCCCCCATTTTGATTGTCAAAACGTAAACAACGTGTTTGCAGCTACGGTTTTGTTGTATTTGCGTTTTTAACTTTTTTATTACACCACCAACCAATTTTGTTATTGCAAAAAAAGTGCAAGGCGGCAATAAAAATATAAATATGATTCGAAACTCAAAACGCGATTCAGTTGTCTTCTTTTAATATTATTTTTGCCGAAAAATGTGGCAATTATCATGCAAATACCAATACATGGTATGTATGTATGTATTAGTGTGTATCGGCTCTCTTAAAATTGGTTCTTCCAAGACATTTCTGATAAGAAAAGCCATTTGTCTGATAAGACAACACAAATATAGATACGCATATGCATATCGGAGACATTTTTTTTACCTTTTCCGCTTCGGTTATTCATGCTAGAGACATGTGTCCATATACATATGTACGTACACCTACATACTTAAGCTTAAGCTCTATTATTATTATTATTTTTTCTCTGAGCAGGACAACTAACTGTCATCACATCCGCCTTAGGCAGCTTTCACTGTACACATATAGATATACCATTATTTTGTTATTTGCGCCTGTGAGCCATGTTTCCTATGAAAATTTTCGCATGTCTTCTTTGCTTTTAGCACGAAATAAATGTCAAACATAAATTTTGTGTAAATCGTGAGTGTGCCTAAGTATGTGTGTGCGTGAGTTTGTGTATGTTGAGTGGGGAGTCGCCTATTGAAATTTAGTGAAATTAATTTGTGTCTCCAGTCCCAGTTGTTCTTCTTCGTCTCCGTATACCAGTTTGCTGCACTGGTGAGGGCAAAGCACGGGGAGTGCCGTAGGGTATCGATATTAAAACGCGTTTAATACCTATATGCATGTGTGTGCGTGTGCTTGTGCTTGTGTTTGTATATACACAAACACACATACGTGCGCTTGCACATTCCGTTTTGTTAACCTCTTTCGTTATGCGTTTAGCTCAACTCAACGCAAAAGCCAATTCTGTTTTGAAATCGAATTCGCTTTCTTCTCAAGTTACTGTATTGTCTTCTGTTTCCAATGGAATTCTCAATGGAATTTCTGCGCCTGCTAACTGTTTATTTGACAGCGAACACGTAACAGCTCACGTAGCCATTGCCCGTTGGCTGCCTCACACGATCAATAAGGCCGCCGTCACACATCTCTTGCACTTGAACTTCAAATATATGCTGTAAAAGCTCTCTTAAGCAAGCGATGAGCAAGTCGATGCAAACAAGAGGATTGAAAAGAGCAAGCAGCTAAAGAAAGTAGCTTGCCTGGAATGAGATGGCAGAAATCAACTGGCTTAAAAAGCTGAACGACTGCCTCTATAGCTCTCTCGCTCTTACATACGCACTCTCCAAGTCTTGTTCTTTGGAGCGTAAAGTCCTTTCCACTGCTTAAAATAGTTTATGGCTTCTAATTGTGCGCGCACACACACGCATATCGTTAGGCACACTCACAAAATCACATATACACATAATAATAGCAAATTTGAATTTCAAAATTTATATTCATGTTTACAAATTTTCATCCATAAATTTTATTAAACACACGGTAAATAGAGAAGAGGAGAGAAGCCGTCAATTGATTTGTATATAGTAAGCTGAGTACGTTAACAGATGAATATAGTTAATTAATTTATTTATGCATGACTTATTAAATAGCTGAAATATTTTGCAAGTGAAAAGAAACCGCATAAATTAAATAAAAAGTTGATTTGAGTATAAGAAATCTTAAGCTAAAATTAAATTCCATTATATTTGTGAAATCTTTAATAAATATTTATATTATAA